TTCTTTTGAAATGATCGATAAAATGACAAGGAAAAAGATTGCACCTATTAAAATAATGTGAGAAACATGGTTTATATTTGTCATATAAACATGGTTAGACTTGTATGTTAAAATTTCCCTTCGGTTTTGATTTTATATTTATATATTCATTCCTTGACCATATTGAATTTTACTTAAGTTTTACAAATTACTTTAATGAAAATTCACTTGATAGTATAGAAGTTTGGATATATTGATTTAAGCAGATCTAAAAGATGAAGATAAGGATTTGGAAGAGGAAGATGATGAGCATGCAACTAAAGATTTTAACTACACAAAAATTGCAATTAAACATGTTGGTTAGGATTTTAACTGCACAAAGATTACAATTAAATATCTCTCCTACATCTAGTCTAATACCCTTTGGTATTGGGATTCAACTTCAATGACATAATAATAAATTTTCATTTTTCACAACTTTATTAGCAGCCCAACAGACCCTTATATACTTCTTGATAATCTGAAATGCAATTACATGTTTCTTTATTTTCTCTAGATGCTTTATATTAATTTTGATGTATAATGAAAATTTTGACCTTCTTTGTAATGGTTGCTTTTCTTCGTTCCCTTTAATTTGAGATTTTGCTTTTGCAATCTAATCAATTTCAGAGTTTTGGGATTGACATTATTGAATTTTTTTTTTTAACTATATATACTCAAGTTTAGAGTTATTATTGGAATGAATTTCGTGGTAGTCTTTTGTGGATATATATATTTTTTAATTTATTTTCTTAGTGTTTCTCTTTTCTCAACTCATTACTTATACCTGGTATGCATGCACGTATAGGGAGCTTGGAAAATTAGTAAACCTAAAGTATATCTCTCTAACTATATCTATTTTATCTATACTGAGAATGAGTAAAAACAATTGGAAACCATTTTCTGTGAGACCTGTAAACTTGGAAGTTGATGCTTTTACTCATGATACAAGGTTAATTTGTTCACTTCAGGATTCTCTCGGAGCAGGAACAACTTGAGGAAATTAGTACTTCTCTGCATGAGAAATCTTTCAAGTAGAGTGGTTAAATTGCACACCCTATTAGCCTTTTATTGCTAAAGTTAGTTTATTTTGTGTTGATCTTCTTTTGATGTTTTTCACAAATCTATATGAATCTGATTATTCTTACTTCATCCTATAAGTGCACTTAATTTGATTTAATAACGTGTTTGTGTTTGTAAGGGACTAAAGATAATCAAAGAATGTATTGACTATTATCTTATACACCAAGGTTAATTTTACGTCATTTGGGTTCAAGAACACAGTGAAACCAAACAATTGGTTGTTCACTGAGTTTAGAAAGAGACATTTATGGAGAAACAACTTTGGAAGATGAACCTTCTTTAGGAATTCTAGACAAAACCGAGTGAGTTTCTTGGTCCAAAGTCATTGGCACTGTAAATTGTTTTTTGATCTATTTTATTTTGTTTCTTTGAAACAATCAATAATGTAGCCTTCTCAATTATTGTTATTGTATTAATATTAGACGATGAATGTTAAATCTACTATTATTCAATCAACAACTTGAAGTGTAATTCTATTATTCTTCCCCAGTTCACAGTGACCTTTTAAGTTATCATGGTGCTGTGTTATGAGTTTCTTATTGTCAAGTTTTATGGACAAGACCAGAAAAGATGGTCACTTGAGTATTCATCCTTGTAGCAGTTATGACATATAGCTGTGAAAAAGAAACTGCTTTTTAAGATGTATCAATGACTTGTTTGCTTGCTGCAGCACCAACACAACAAAAATGGATATCCTAGGCTTGCTGCCATTCCAAACTGATGAATACCATATATATGTAAGAAGATTTGCATATTCCATCACCTACTTTTTGTAACAACATACAATACAAGAGTTGGAGAGATCAAATTATTATTATCACAATTTTCTTTTAACATGTATCATGTATGAATTGCATATAACATCAACAGATTTTCCTAACGCGTTAAAAAAAAAAATTAACTTTCACATCAAATTATTATTATCACAACTTTTTAAAACATGTATCATGTATGAATTGCATATAACATCAACATATTTTCCTAACACAGTTGAAAAAATTAATTTCCACAACTCAATTCACAATTCCTAAATTAATAATAAGAACCACAAATACTTTCAACATATATGTAGGAAAATTTGCATATTCCATCACCTATTTTTTGTAACAGTATACAATACAAAAGTTGGAGAGATCAAATTATTATTATCACAACTATTTAAAACATGTATCATGTATGAATTGCATATAGCATCAATATATTTTTCTAACACGTTAAAAAAATTAACTTCCACAACTCTAAAATCTATATAATTAGTCAATTATTTCAAAACACTAAAATCTCAAATAAATTTATATTCGGATACTGAACTATATCGATACACAATCAATATTTATATAATGTGTTCCTAAATTATATAAAATTTACTTGTGATGTTAGTTATGACATCGTTATGATGTTAGTAATAATACATGGTTGGTTTTCCTTTGACTTTGGTTAAATTTACAAATCTAAGTTACATTGAATGAAATAAGTTATGATATTTATTACAAATGTGTTCCTACACTATAAAATTTAGTTGTGATGTTAGTTATAAAATTGTTATGATGTTATTTTTCTAAAACGGTATAAGAATATTATAAATGGCTTGGTAATTCACTAAAAAAATATAACGAATTAACAAAATTTACAAAGAAATCTCATTCATAAGATTGTATAAATCAAATAGTTGCGTCTGATCTGTTATGGAGTTCATTGCTATAGGGATCTATTTGCTTTTCATGTTTCCAGTTGCAGACCAACTTTTTTCTTATTTTTGCTGATTTGGGGTTTGTCTATTCTTTATTAATGTTTAAAAATTTAAATGGGTTTTGGAATTATTGTTGATTAATATGTTTGGATTTTATTCAGGGTTGAGAGTTCTTTGGATCTGGTTTTGAACATTTTATAGATTTAGGGATTCATAGTCTGGCGTTGACGAATCGGGGTTCGTGGCAAAAGATTAAATTTGATGCCTTATGTAGTGTTTGATTGGGTGAAGAATTGAATACCCAGTTACAGTACTGGAAAGAGAAAATAAAGGGAATGGGGGATGAGGTGACTTTGAGTTTTGGTTTCCTTCGATGGCCGCCCGCCGTCTGAAGAGGCGAGAACGTATATAATTGATATTAGGGTCTTCTTTTCCGTGACCTGAAAATGTTAAATATAAGGGGTGAGCAAATTGCTTAGTAGGTGGTGCCTAAGACACATCTCTTGTCACCTCGTGAATCCAAACAATGAATAGAAATAAAGGCAATGGGATCATGCTATGCTAGGGAAAAATACAATACAAGTTCAAGTCATAATGAAACAAATTCATGTCATGAAATACAATGCCATGTATGTCGCTCCCCATTTTTTTTTTTTTTTTTTTTTCAAAATCCAATCCATCACTTTTCAAACCATTAACATAACCCGTCCCTCGGTGACTCTTCATCGACACGAGAGAAGGATTGGCTACTATCCCTGACCCTTAGTAATCCGCGGCGTCATTTGGGCCCAGATAGCTCAACCACGCTAGGGTGATTTCCCTAGTTCCCTCTAGGTTACATTAACGTCACGGACCCTCGGTACCTCCTCGGCGTTCGGATTTTTCACAAAAACCCTTTGTCAAAACTTTTCTCAAAAACTCCTTTTCATTTCCTTCCAAAACATCATTCCCATTTCCTCCCAATGAAGTGCATGGATGCTTCATGCCACAATTTATCATTTCACAACTAATTCAACTTAATCCACTAGCAAGCTTTACAAAAATTCTCATAAAAATACAACATGCTTTCATTTAATAATAATCTAGCATTGCAAACATATAAAACATGAATTCTAGTCCACATAAACATGCTTGAATCATCACACATCCATCTACACATAATTAAACATTCCATATACAACATGTAAACAATTTTATAAGAATTTATACAAAATAGGAATGCTAGAATACAATTTATACAAGAATAATTCACTAAAATCAAAGAAATTATGAATTAATCACCTTTACCTCACTTAGATGCAAAAACCCCCAAATGGGTCCAAAAATTCGAAATCCCTAGAGTGCACCAAAAAAGGAATTGCTTATATCAACGCATAGAATTTGCTGCAAACGGCATCCAAAAATTCCAACAATTGAGGAAGAAATCAAAGGTTGAAGTTGTGACAAAAGAAAAGAAAAAAAATGAAGCCAAGAGGAAGAGAGAAAATGTGGCTGGGAGATGGAAAAAATAGAAGTCTATAATGATCTTGTGGTCATTAGAATACATATGTAAAGTGGCGGGTCTCACCACTAAAAAAAATCTTTTCCTATTAAATTATATATATATATATATATATACAAATAATGTTGGTTGAGGTTTGCCTTTTTAATGTCAAGTGCCTATCTTAATGTCAAGTGCCTATCAAAAGGGTTCATGGCTATTCATTCATTATTGGTATCTGTCATAGGGGTATTTAAGTCATTACACACTGTGTGTTAATGGATTACTCTCCATAAAAGGTGCTATTATACAATGTAATGGTCATTTTCTAATTCATATTCACACACACAGGTGGCAGCAAATACAGCCCTGATGTGAAAGCAATTCTGGTAGTTCATTGAGAATTCTAGTGTAATGAAGGATTCACAACAATATGTAAGGTGTACTGTGGTCCAAGTGAGAGAGGATATTGACAGAAATTCAAATTCCCAGATGTAGGTATCAGCATTGTATATTGTCATTTGAGGGCTGCAGAAAAGGTACTTTTTAGTGCCAAGATAGGACTGTCCAGGGGCATTTCAGTCCATTCATAGTGTATGCTATCTGCATATATCCCTATCCTTGATTGGCTAGTAATGGAATATTCTTATCCATACTAGGATAACAATGAAAGTTATATAAATATACTGTTATAGCAGTAGCAGAAAGTGAACACAAAAATAGAGTCCTTTGAGCTACATTGTGATGCTGTGTATGAGATACTCGAGAGCTAAAAATGTTTGAGTGACTTTCAGAGAAATACTTAAGGTTTTGAGCTGAATTTGTTCTCTGAAATCAGTATGAAGTGTGTGCTAATTTACTGAAGAACATAAGGACCTGTGATGCTGTTTTCTGGTGCAAACAATGAGGATTGGGAGGTGAAAATCTGTAGTGATTACTTTTGGAGCTTGAACAAGGTCTGAGCAAGTGTATCTTGAGGGTTTACATCAGCTGAAGTGGCCTAAGACAACATATTAAGGCTGGTATCATTTTTCATATCTCAAACCCCAAGTTTAGCTTGCCTTTCTAGTTTAATTCTATAATCCTGAGCTTAACTTGTTTGAACCATGCTATACCATGAATGTTTATCATCTGAGCATGCCTAGTTTGTTGATTTAAGGCTGTCTTAGTTGTGGTTTGGACTGAGGAATGACTTGTTCTAGTTTAGTACTGTAAACCACATTTGTTTCAGCTTATAGCAGTTTTACAATTCGGTTTTGAGTACTGAAATTGTAATATATTATTGTGCTTGTTGAGTTATTCATATGAGCATGTCCAAATTTAATATACTCTTGATAGAACCAAAATCCAAATTTTATAGCTATGAAATACCAGAAATACCCTAAAAACAGTGCTGCTGCAGAAACTGTCTTATAAAGCTTTCTTTGAACTAAAAATTGATATTAACTTGCTTCGAAATGAGAAATGTTAATTTGACCAAGTGAACTATGATGAAAGAAAATTGTGGGAGCTATACTCAAGAAGGCCCAGCCTCGAATTGACTCTTGTGCCCCTCAAACCAGAAAAATACAGTAGCAAATATATACACCTGCTGTGAGCTTTAATTTTGCTGCTGTTAGTACTATATTGTTATGCCCCTATGTGTACATCTTATCCTTGCTATATTACAAGTTTAATTCATCATATTTAAGCTGAGCGAGTCTCTAGTTGTTGGGAATTTAAGCTACATTAAAGCTGTTTTTGTAAAACTAATTTTTGGGTTTTAAACCTAAAATATCTACTGTGAGCATATACAAAGCCATACCTTGTTGTTTATTTTGTTATTATCATTTAAGCAAGTATATATAGCCTATTGAAGACTGGGGGAGTGAAGTTTGAGGTGTCCCTAAGGTTGTATTACAAACTTACCCTTGTGAGGCTCAATTTGGGGTTTTTGAAGAAAACAAGGCTGCTATGCTATCTCACTGTTATTGCTTGCTTATCAAACTGAGTTTAACTATCAAGTAAGTGTATCCTGCCCATACAAGCCTATGAAAGTCAAATGCAAGCTTGAACTGAAGCTACATTATGGAGTTACCCCTTAAAGCTACAAAGCTAGGGTTTTAGCTTAAAATTGTGATATCTATACTGTGCCTTGCTGTTTGTATTGATCTTATCAACTGAGCAAGTGTATTCTACCTACTGAAGGCTAAGGGTGTGGAATTTGGGCTGGTTCTGAGACTAATTTACAATCTTACCCTTGAAGGCTCAAAGCTAGGGTTTTAAAGACTACAAGGCTATTGTGTGCTATCTCTATTATACCTTACTGGTTTCACTGAGTTTATCTCTTAAGAAAGTGTATCTAAGCTATTGGGAGCTGTAGAAGACAATTTTAGGTCCTTCTTAAGGTTGCATTGTGAAGTGATCATTATACCTTTGAATTTAGGGTTTTTGCCTTGTATGTTCTTCATTGATCTACCTTACTTATTTAATTCAGGAAGTCATTCAAGCAAGTGTATTTCACTGTGTCAAGGCTGTGGGAACCTAGTTTGGGTATCAAATGAAGCTGCATTGTGTTTTGACAGTTATATCCCTCTTGGTGCAGAGAAGTGAAACTAGAGTTTCTTGTGTTGTATACTTTGAACTGTGTATTCCATCTAATCTTGTGGTGCAGAGATAAGTGGTGTTTTGACACCTTATTGTAAATACCAGTGAGGCTGTGACGGCCCTGGTTTTTCAAGCCAATGCATCCTATAATGAACCAAAGTTTGACCCGATAACAGATCCGAAATGAGGAAGCAAAAACATAAACATAGTCTCTAGGGATATATAACATCCTTAGGATCCCAAAGTGACCTTCCAAGAGGCCACAGGAGGATTATTTGTCACTTGTAGAGTTTGTATATAACAATAGTGATAGAGACTCTGCTAATCAGTTAACTGAGAAAGGAAATGGCAATGGACAAGGGCAAATTCCAGGGATAACATTCTTGGAAGAAGCACAAGGGTGGTTCAGATGCTCACAGGGATGAGGCACCTATTCAGAGGCAGCAGAATAGGGGACCACAGGGAGGACAGGGTCAGCCACAGGCTAACCGATAGAGGATGTCATTTGACACTTTCTAGCGTAGTTGCTATACTTGTGAAGAGTATGGTCATACTTCCAGGCAGTGTCCTAAAGCAGGACAGGGACAGGGGCAGCATGTATAGTAGGGACAGAGGGCACCGGTACCTTTACCTGCTCTACAGGTTCCACAGATTCAAGGACAGACATATTCGGCTTTACCAGCACTGCCACCGCCTCAGGGACAGGTACTGCAGTAGTTGCACTATGGCAGGGTGTTCAACTCCATGCCACAGGATGTTTGGGCACCTCAGGCTGTTGAGGGTATGTTTCTTATTCATGGGTCGCATGGTCATGTTTTATTTAATACAGGTGCTACACACTCATTTGTAGCTAGATCTTTTGTTGTTTTATCTGGGATGACGATGGGGGTATGTGATAGACCTCAGGGTATTTCTATACTGGTGGTTGCCGTCACATTACACCAAAAGCTTGCAAAGAGATGAACTAAGAGTGTGAGTGTTCAATGAGGCTAAGTTTTAAATTTATATAAGCCACTACTACCTTTAACTAAAAATATAGCTAGGATGAGTAAGGATCGTCCCAAGGGATTATGGGTGCCTTTGCAATGGAAACAATATATAGGGTTAGTTGGTCGAGTGATCAAAGATTGGTTGGATTGATTGATTAAGTTATTATGCAAATGAAATTAAAGTAAACAAAATTCAATGATTAATAAAGTAGAGAAAGATATAGAGGGGAGGACTTGGGATACTAGAGCTCACCACTAAGCTTGACTTCAATAGACACTAGTAATTGTATATTAATGGGGAAATTGACTTGTAACTTGTGTGTGTGTGTGTGACATTAATTAAAACTAGGCATAGATGGCAAATAAGCAAAGATTGTCAAGCCAAATTAAATGGAAAGCACAGCCTATCAAATGAGACCAAAATCCATTCAATGAAACCACAATTTATGCACACACAACTATCTAAAAACATACACCTAATGCATTCATAAGTATGGAACACCAAGGAACAATGGTAGATTGTCCACCTATCTATGAATTTAAAGCAACTACACTACATCTACACTAAAGACATGAAATTTAACTAAGTAAGCTAAAGGTATGGTACAATCCATCAAGAAACAAGTGTGAACCATCAAATAAATTGCAAAAGTGTTCAATTAAGCTCTATGTTTTGACCATCTCTAGATTAACTTCATCCATACACATAGACATGGATAAATTCCACTAAATCTAGAGAAAAGTATATGAATCATCCATTCTAGCATACATAGACATATGGTTAGAAGTAGATAATCAATTGAAAGCATTAATCCATACACATCAAGTAGAAACCACAAAATATATATATAAATCCAAGATCATAACATTATTACAAATAAATCCCCAAAAATATACAAAGAACTAAGTCTAGGAAGCAAACTTAAGGGCTACTCTAGCCCCAAGTAGATGTCTAGCCACTCATTGAAGTAGTCATCCAACCCTTAAGGGCTATCTCCAAGGTAGGAATGACCTACTTCTTGATGGAAACCCTAGAAGAATAGAAGAACTCCCAAAATGTGTAAAGCTTTCTAATTTCTAGCCTCCTCTCTAAGATATGAGATATGATGAATTATGAATAATAGATATACTCTAAAAGTGGCTCTCCATCCTTATATAAGTAGGTCAAATGTCACACTAATGGTTTGGATTCGTGCATCAAGGTCCTACCAATGATTGCACAATGAGCTAACTTTTAATGAGTTGGAATTTGTCTCTTTTTGGACTTGAGGAAGTTCGATCGATCGAACTATGTTGAGATCGATCGAACTTGGCTGAGATCTATCGAATGTTGCAGAGATCGATCATCCTTGGCGGCTCCTTTTTGAATAAAGACAAATCTCTGAGATATTTTGGGAAAGAAACAAAAGTGGTTGGTGGGGTGATAGGTGTGGATAAGATAGGATTATTTTGATCGATCGGGGAAATGTTGGATCGATCGAACTTATTAGATTCTTTTGGATAAGGACAAAAGCTTGGATCCTTCTTGAACTATTTAGATCGATGTGATCGATCGAAGAAAAGCTGAAATCGATCGAACATGCTGAATTTCCACACTTTGCTTCATTTTGCTCCCACTTTGCTCCTTTCTTCCATTCAGCTTGAGTTAACTTCTTTAATGCTCTTATTTGGCTGAATTGACTTATTTTTGGGATAAGCACCTGAAATGGGTAATAACACGAAATTAGAATAAAACAGGGAAATAAGATAGATAAAGGTCCTAAAATGCTCAAGCTTAAGGGATTTAAACGCGCACTTTTCATTGCTCATCACACCCCCAAACTTAAATATTGCTAGTCCCTAGCAATGAACTACAAAGTAAAGGAATGGAATGAACAACTATACAACTATGAACTAGAAAGCAATAAATGGATAACGCCACTTTCGTAGGGAACACGATTACATTTAGCATATGCAACAAGCCTTATAAACCCCTAAGTTACCCCTAGGGGACGAGTGAAGTCTCGCGAGGGTTTCCAAAAATAATACCAACAAACATTAAGCTCATTTTCACAAAAGAGGTACCAATATTGCAAACAATGATTGGGAGAAAACTAGCTTAAGTATGCAATTTTTTAACCATTTCTAAGCAATCTCCCAAAATTTCAACATCAAGCAAACAAATATGGTCCTCCACACATCAAGAAAATGATTATGCAAATCAAAACAACTCTAGAATCCTTTTTGAGTGGATCGACATCAAGTATGTTGCTATCTAAGCCAACTAAAGAAATGATCACATCCTTACCCTCAAACTAGCACACAAATCTAGTACCGATCATCAAGACAAAGAGTGGATATTTTATTAAAGCTTTATTGTTCTATGTGCGCTTATTCTTTTCACTCGATTTTTTTTTTTTTTTTCGAAGGATCAAAGATGGAAGCATAGTGCAATGTGTTGATCTATT